TTTTTTTTTTTTAAAAAAATACTCTCTTGTTTCTTGGAGGCAATCAAACATCTAATTTAATTTTGCCTGGGCAGAGAACACAAGTGAAACTGAAAAGCAGAGAAAAGTCAAGTTTAAAGAATGAAGCCTAACTAGCTTCTAATATGAAGTTCTAATGTTTAATTCTTCAAGGGTTATATACAGACTGTGTTTTGGGGTAATCATGATCTATTCTCAATCATCCCAGAGTGCAGGACATACAATAATGGACTCAAGCTCCAGGAAGCTAGATTTTGGTTGAAGATCAGAAAAAAATTCTTAACTGTTAGAGTGGTATGAGAATGGAAGCAGTTACCACAAGATGTGGTGAGTGTGCCAGTCCTGGAGGTATTCAAGAAAAAGTGGGAGAACTATCTATCAGATCTGCTTTGATTTAGATTCCTGCACTGAGTAGGGGTTGGACTCAATGGCCTTATAGGCCCCTCCCAACTCAATTATTCTATGATTCTGTGGTAATGAGGAATCCACCCTGGTTTTCAAGGAAAATCATGAGTAATTTAGACTTTAGGTGGCACATCCAAATGAGGTTTTGTTGTGCACTTGCCCTACCATATTCAGAGAGACATATTATTCTTAAAATAAGATGTATTTTTTTAGGTTGTCATTTCCTGTCATGTCACAAGTTTTAAAATAAATATATAAATAACATTCCAGGGGAAAACACAGTTGCTCTGCCTTGGTACAACGCTGCCCGGAAAAGGGCAATATACCTAATACTTGCTTTTAATTATTCAATAGGATTTTAATTAGCATGTTTTTTAATGTTTAACTTATTTAAGTTTTTAATTATATTCCTTATAATATTGTGAGTTGCCTTGGATCCCCTTATCATGAGAAAGGCAGCCTAGAAATAAAATAAACTACCATACCACAGTTAGGGATGTGGTTGGGCATGGTACATGCGCATGCACACAAGGAAGATCCACTATTACGACTGCCGTAATATACCTAATACTTGCTTTTAATTATTCAATTGGATTTTAATTAGCGTGTTTTTTAATGATTAACTTATTTAAGTTTTTAATTATATTCCTTATAATATTGTGAGTTGCCTTGGATCCCCTTATCATGAGAAAGGCAGCCTAGAAATAAAATAAACTATCATACCACAGTTAGGGATGTGGTTGGGCATGGTACATGCGCATGCACACAAGGAAGATCCACTATGTTTTATGGAAGAAACACAGTGTTGCATTTCAAAGCATCCAACTACTCCCTGTTCAGACATTCCTTTAACATTTTTTTCCTGCCAACTTGGTGATTGCTGTCTACATCAGTGGTTCCCAAGCATTGACCTTCCAGATGTTGTTGGATCACAGCCTCCAGAATCATTCATCTTGGGCCACGCTGAGTGGGATCTCTGAGAGCTAAAGTCCCTA